GAAGTCGCCCAAATGGTAGGACCAACGTCTTCTATTACAATACCAATCCACCCAGGCGTAGCAGATCAGATGTCCATGTTGATGGAGCAAGTGCGTCAGATGCAAGACAAGATCAACGGATTGCCAGGGGTACTCCCGCCCTTGGACAGAGCGTCACGAACGTGTTATGAAGATTCACCTTTTGACGGTTCGATCATTCATGTCCAACTGCCGAATAAATTTGAGGTACTAACCATGGAGCCATTTGACGGAACCACGGATCTTGGAGAACATGTCGAGCGATATAAGCAAACGATGTCGACCGTCTCCGTTAGACCTGAACAGAGAGAGGCATGTATGTGTCGGGGATTCGGCATGACATTGATCGGTCCCGCTTTGACATGGTTTGTCAATCTTCCGAATGGAAGCGTCGGTTCGTTTGCCGAACTCATCAATCTTTTCAATCGACAGTTCGCAAGTAATAAGGTATTGGAAAGAGGGACCAGTGACTTATATCAAGTCGCCAGAGGCATGGTGAATCACTTAGGACATGTTTACTTCACCAGTTATTAAACGGTGCTTATTAAGACCCGTGTTAATAAGCGGCGCATAAAATAAACAATGTTGTAAGACCGTGTTTACTTCAAACGGTTTAAAACACCGCTTAACATTAAAATGTCCAAAATAACCCTATACATATATATACACACAAACATTCATGAACACAAGTATATAATATAATATGTGTACCCATACCCCCTTACCCGCCCAAGAATGCCAGCATGTGGTGCACCACGGCCGCCCCGATGTCCGCGACCTCTCTGCTGGCCTCCCCCCGGATGCTGCTGTCCACCGGCATGCTGCTGCTAGCCGCCCTGTTGCGGCTGTGCACCGCCAAGAGGAGGCTGTCCCCCTGGTTACGTTGTACCTGACCTGCAAAAGCGTGGGCAAGATTTAACTCCTCCTGAGCATTCATACACTGCAAACTGCGTTCCTTTTCAAGCAATTTAGTCCGAAGGTTTTCAAAAGTAAATCTATCCGGAAAAAGGTCTCCGACGTGATAAGTGACTCATAATCCCGACTAAGACCTTGTAAAACATACTGAAATAATTCTTTACGAGACACATGAGCATTAATAGCAGCAAGACGATCAGCAATGTCCTTAATATCCCGAAGATAGTGTTCCATGGGCTGATTTGAACGCTTTCTTAGAGTGTGTAAGTTGACGTTTCAATTCCATGGAATGAGCTAGACTAGCAGACATAAAGTGAGACTCCAAGCGATTCCAAATAGCAAAAGCATTTTTCAATTCACGAACTTCAATCAACACATCACGAGATAAAGTAGCAAACAACCAGGAGCGTACAGTTTGATCCAATTTTAGCCAATTATATAATAATCAAGATTAATGACCTCGTGATAATAAGCATAAAAAACATATGGTGAGGGAGCAGGAATAGAACCATCTAAAATCCCCAAAAAAACATTAGACACCAGGAATGACTCAAACTAAGTATGCCAAGTCAAGTAATCCTCAACAGCAGCAAGTTTTATAGTAACAATATTGGTAATGTTTAGCGCTGAAAGACCAATACTTTGAACTAATTCAGATAAATTGTAACCTGTAGGAGGTGCAGCAGTCCACGGTGCAATTGGACCAAGGGAGGCAGTGGACTGCAGCGGTGTTATCCCCGGCGCACCAACAAAAGTTGGACCGGCAAAATTGGAGCCAGAATTCTGTACTGAAGAACCCTGCTGCTGGAGAAGAACGGCATCATGGCATAATACTCGTCCGGAGAAGACTGGATCATCGGCCTGCTAGGAGACTAGTGAAAGACCGGTGGAAGCCAAGCGACACCATCTGAGGCTGAGAAAAGGTTGGAGGATGGTGGTTGCGGAGTAATTTGAGAGATGACCGGTGAGAAGGAGGACATAGATGCCGAGAGCCCTGCTGTGGAAGAAACACCCGCAGTGGAGATGGCAGGGCCTGTTGTCGCAGCTTCCGTGGTGTTGACGGGCGCAGACACAGAGCCGGTGGCTGAGAAGCCTGCCACGGCTTTAGTAGAAGCGTCGATGGAAGACATATGACCGGAAAAAAATTCAGGGTAATAAAGTTTTGGCTCTTGATACCATGTGAGAATAATTACCAGGCTTAGCCATAATGGTAGCCCTGACAGATATATATAAGAGAATAAATGTCATAATTACAATAGGAGTCCCCAATAATAATTAAATATAAAATCTACTCTATTAATATCAATGACTATTTCGTAGTGATTCAATTCATCATCTACGAGTGACTTGCAACTCTATATTATAGTGGCTCTTGTACATCCAGTTACTCATATACAATGATTAGTTATATTTATCTAAAAAACAAATACTCTCTCCGTCCATAATTTATCTTCCGAATAGGTTTGGCACACAGTTATAGATAGTGAGTATTGTGTAGTGGAGAGTTGTGCGGAGGAGAGAGAAATGTGTAAGAATTGTTGTGAACCACAAATTCTTTGCCAAAAAGGAAAAATGGAAGTTTTAATTGAGACGGACGAAAAAGGAAAGTTGGAAACTTATTTAGGGACGGAGGGAGTATCATATATATTTTTGTCCGTGAAAATTCTGTTACTAATATATTACTCCGTTTGTGCCATTCATGAATGTGTTACAAGGTAATTAAGTGGCGTAATTGGGATCAATTTTCTTTTCACTCATGTCACTTGAAACTTGTTTGATTCCTTCATCCGCCCTTGGCTTCAATTCGTCACAAAGCTTCAGTATCGAATTGCAAGTGTGGCAAGCACTTCAATTCGCCTTTTTAATTTCTTCCATTTTACTGCATAGCCTTTTTCATCTACTATTCCTAGAGTAAATGACTAAATGTCACCTCATTTTCTGATATTCAATATGTTTAATATGTTTACTATCTTCTTTTACTATTTTATTAGTTAAAAATTGTACTACTTGTTAAATATCCCACACCGAAAAGATTTGGATGAACAAAGTGCTATATTAACAGTTTAACACATAGGCTACTCCTCCTAACAGGTTGACCTTTTAGGATGAAACCCCGTGTCTTAACATGGTATCAGAGATAAATCGATCCATGGTGTGGGGCCCCTTATGAAAAATGATGAGATGATTATAAAAAATCACAATTACGGCCGGATGAAAAAAACGGACCGATGAAAAAAAAATGAATGACGGCACGAGCCAAACGAAGTGTCTGGTCGTGAGGAGGGTGATAAAGTCACACACCGGTAAATTGAGAAGCATTAGAGTGCTATATTAAGCTTTGGGCTCCTCCTCCTAAGATGTTGACCTTTTAGGATGGAACCCCGTGTGTGGGGCCCCTTATGAATCGTGATGACACGATTATTAAAAAAATGACAATGACGAGTCGACAAAAAAAAGGAATGATGGCACGATCCAGACAAAGTGTCTGGTCGTGAGGAGGGGTGTTGAATATATTCCCACACCGTAAAATTGTGAAGCAATTGAGTGCTATATTAAGATTTGGATTACTCCTCCTATCAGGTTGACCTTTTAGGATGAAACTCCGTGTCTTCACAATTGCTTATCTTCAAAATGAAAGTGTTTTTATTTCTCAGTTTTACTAATTAACTCACAGAGAGGTAGGGGGTAGCTAGGGAAAGACTAGGCGTGTAAAGCTCTCACTGCATAAGCGCTTATTTATAAGGAGAACTGCGAAAGGGTTTGTTGAGGTATACGTTGCTTGTGGAGTATGAAGAGTAAAGGAAGGAAACTACACAACAAATTGACCAAAAGAAGATAAAAAAAAATATATTGAAATGACACCGGTAATAATTAAGTACGAAAAATTACCTTTGTGCTGTCACAAAACCGAGGGCTTTTTGGTAAAGAAAAGGCTCTAGCTAAAGAATACTTGGAATATATGTTTTTTCAAAAAATGCTCTAATTTTGTAATTACTTGTTAGCATATAATTCAAATTATTTTAGTCTTCCAATAATAAATAAACAAATTGTATCCAAATAATTAAGTACAACCAATTGTAGGCCACCGATCAATTGTGGATGCAATTATACACCCCCTTTGTTACCATTTATTCATTATTAGTATTAATATTGTTGTTAATATTTTTTGTGACTGTAATATTGTTATTAATACTAAGCATATAGAGTTTTTTGTGACTAAACTTAGAGTTAATAAAGAGAAATATGATGTGAGTAAAGTAGTGTTAAGACAAGGGGTTTCATCCTAAAAGGTCAACTCAATTGATTCACAATTTTGCGGTGTGGGAATATATTCAACACCCCTCTTCACGACAAGACACTTTGTCTAGATCGTGCCATCATTCATTTTTTTCGTCGACTCGTCATTGTCATTTTTTTAATAACCGTTTCATCACGATTCATAAAGGGCCCCACGTCATGGATCGATTTGGCTCTGATACTATGTTAAAACACGGAGTTTCATCCTAAAAGGTCAACCTAATAGGAGGAGTAATTCAAATCTTAATATAGCACTCAATTGCTTCACAATTTTGCGATGTGGGGATATATTCAACAGCAATGCCTCTTCGTGATCTTCCAGTGCAACTCAGGAACTTCATCATTTATATAATAGTGCTGGTGAGTGTTTTATTGTTTAGTTGAATCTTTTTCTACCAGGTCCCTGGCTACAATATATAACTGCATATTCAATTACAGGTGCGATTGATTACACAAAGATGGTTTCGCTCGTTTCAGGGTGAACCACTACCTCAAACTCGAGTTACTTCAATAAGTATTTTAACAATTTCAATTTCTTTTCATTTTCATAAAAACATGTCTTAATTATAATTGTCTTGCCAAGATAAACGTTTTTATTTTCTAGTATATTGAAATATAAGGCCACATGCAATGTATTTTAATAAGATGCACACCTGCGTGAGTCCCATATGCATGAATATCACATGGGCCATACATGTGTTGCTTCTCACTCCTATCACACACCATCACCTTTTATTTTATTATAAGTATGCATGCATACGTGAGTTTTACGAGTATGTAAGAGGAGAATTCCTCCTTATGAAATTCATCAATACAAATCACTTATTTTATATTTATTATCAAATTTAACATGGTATCAGAGCCAAAACCTGGAAGTTTTCCTTCTTTCCTTTAGTGCTCACATCGACATGGAAGAAACATCGCGACATACTCGCACTTGGATAATTGATTCCGGAGCAAGTGAACACATCACTTGTGATGGTGATGGCCTTTTCGATATTCTAACTCACCCTTCCGAACCAGCCGTCCGAATACCCAATGGAGAACTAATTCCGGTTTCTGCGATTGGCAGCCTCTATTTGCCTAATGGGTTCTATCTTAGACGTGTTTTATACGTTCCGCAGTTCCAATGCCACTTGCTCTCCGCCAGCCGTCTCACTAGTGACCTCAATTGCACTCTCACTTTTTCTTCCAAATTTTGTATACTCCAGGATGTATCCTTGAGAACGCTAATTGGCATGGGTTACTTTCGTAATGGTTTATATTATTTGGATTCTTCAAAGGGTGAAAAGGTTGCAATGCCAGCCACCATTTGTTCAGACCTATGGCACCGACGGTTGGGACACGCCTCAGACGCAAAATTACAACACATCACGTTTCTCAAAGGTTTTCAACGAAACGGTAATTCTTGTGATCCCTGCTTACGAGCTAAACAAACCCGTCTTAGCATTCCGAAGAGTACAAGTAAGACAACTTGCTGTTTTGAATTAATACACTGTGATATATGGGGAGCTTATAGAAGTGACTCTAGTTCCGGAGCGCGTTATTTTTTGTCAATAGTTGATGACTTCACTAGAGGTGTTTGGGTCTATCTTATGAAAAACAAATCAGAAGTCAGTCAAAAATTGATAAAATTTTGCAATATGGTAGAAACTCAATTTGAAAAAAGGGTTAAACGCATCCGGACGGATAATGGAGTTGAGTTTCAAACCAATCTTTTATTTGAATATTATGAACGTTGCGGAATTATTTTGGAAACATCATGCACAGATACCCCTCAACAAAATGGGGTTGTAGAACGTAAACACAGACATATTTTGGAAATCGCCAGAGCACTACGTTTTCAATCCGGATTACCTATTGATTTTTGGGGAGATTGCGTTCTCACCGCAGTTTATATTATCAACCGACTACCATCACCTGTCATTCTAAACAAAAGTCCTTTTGAAGTATTGTTTGGGAAGGTACCTAGTTATGAGCATTTGCGTGTATTTGGATGTTTGGTATATGCACACAACAATAAACGGAATGATAAATTTGGCGAAAGGGGGAGTCCTTGTGTATTTCTTGGATATCCCTACGGACAAAAGGCCTACCGAGTTTTTGATTTACAAAAACACAATATTTACAGTTCTCGGGATGTGACTTTTTTTGAAAATGAATTCCCATTTAAATTAATTGATCACGAAGGGAAGGATTTCGGATCAATTGTTGACGGTGCCTATCAAAATATTATAAACAATAATGGCAGCCCCATGCTTCAAACACTTCCAGAAAATAAAGGTGGCCCACAATCTAATCCATCTCATGGCCAAATTCATTCTCCAGTAACTACCTACGGTCCTCCCTCCAGAGATGTACAAATTAGACAGCTCACTGGGTCACCTCCTTCTACATGCAGAATAAGCCAACCCACATACACAGAAGAGGTCCATTCACGTGAACGCACAGGGCCACCTCCTGAGCCTCTTGTACCCGAACAACTGCCACCTAGGCTGGCCACAAATCACGAGCAACCTCTCTCCCTTGAAACTATGAATGGCGAACAGGACAGCAACAAGGACAGTGGGCCCTCTCCTCACCGTTACACACCGGCCGGACATCGTCTTCACCTACCAGACGCTCCGCCCTATACACAGCTTCCGGCTTCACCAACTAGAAATGAGAGCTTGGATGCACATGGAACTGGTACTAGTGGGACTATGGTGCCATTTACAGTTGACTAGTCGATCCACTCTGATTTGACAATCCCAAACATAGTCGTACCTTCCGAAAATGAGCTGAGAAAAAGTAATAGAGCTCGACAACTTCCTAAACACCTTGCGGACTTTGATACTGATTTGCCACCATCCATAGACCATTCTCGGTCAACCGCCCATTTTGCCGACTCACCAGTTTACCCACTTTCTGATTTTATCAATTATGAAAGATTTTCCACTAATCACAAGGCTTTTCTAACGGCCATCACTTCCCGTGATGAGCCAAAACATTTTTCACAGGCAATTCAAGATCCTTTATGGCGTGAAGCCATGCAGAAAGAAATTCATGCTTTAGAAGAAAATGGTACATGGACCCTAATTCATCTACCACCAGGAAAGAAAGTGGTTGACTCTAAATGGGTGTATAAAATCAAGTATAAACCCAATGGTGATATAGAGCGCTACAAGGCTCGATTAGTTGCCAAGGGTTTCACACAAGTCGAAGGAGTTGACTTTCACGAGACATTTGCCCCTGTTGCCAAACTTGTCACAGTACGATGTTTATTGGCCATTGCAGCAAAACATAATTGGGTAGTGCACCAATTAGATGTTAACAATGCATTCCTTCATGGAGACCTCCACGAGGATGTTTATATGCGTGTCCCACAAGGGTTTTCTAAAAATGGAGATACACGTGTTTGCAAGTTAAGAAAATCCTTATACGGATTATGTCAGGCCTCTCGCAACTGGTATCACAAATTCACTCAAGCCCTCATTGGGATAGGTTTTCGCCAGTCTCGAGCCGATCACTCTTTGTTAATCTTTTGCCAAGGAAACATCAACACATTTGCCCTTATTTATGTTGACGACGTCTTACTCGCCGGAAATGACACCTCTCATATTTCTACTGTTAAAAACTACTTGGACAACAAATTTAGCATCAAAGACTTGGGAAAATTAAAATATTTTCTAGGCATTGAAGTTGCACGTTCTCCTGAAGGTTTTGTCTTAAGTCAACGCATATACACGTTGGACATCTTGGAGGAATGTGGCCTCCTAGCTAAGGAAGGTGTCGATCCCAAAATGTGACGTCTCTACCGTCATTGAAGCATTCAGAAGAGGTCTGTATGAAGATTCAGAGCTGTACCGAGAACTAACGAAATACCCTTGTCGATCCTTCGAAGATGTCCAAGCAAAGACGTTAGCGTTCATCCGTCTAGAAGAAGACTTATGATCCCGTTGCGGACAAGTTAAGTATGAGGGGGGCTACGGCAAATCAGAATCTCCTGGGAGGCATGAGTACAAGTCTAAAAAACCTTATTCAAGACCTGAGGAACGAGTCATCACGCCATGACGAGTTAGACATCACAAGATGGTTGAAATCTCGGATGGGGGGCATGTCGTCCGATGATAGATAAGCCAAATTTCAGATTTAATTCAACCGGGAAGACAGTCGAATGATTTTCTGAAATGTACTGCGATGTTTAACTGCACAATTATTTTCAAAAATTCATTTGACTGCTTTCGCGAATGAATTTTTAGCTAAAATTTGGTATGAGTAAACTAGACTTAATGAAGAAGATGCTCAAAGCATTTCATCAAAAAAGTCCATCAGGAATCGCCCTAATTGGCGACGGCCAGACAGAGCCTTCTATATAAAGGGTGAACTGCACGTTTTAATTTAGTTTGAGGGCCTATTTGACCCTTTAGCTATTGTTTTATGAAGTGTAGGCATGTTGCTTTTTTACATTGTTGTTTTTATGTTTCATGTATGTGGTCGTGGTTTTATTACTCCGTATTATTCATTTACAAAGCATTTAAGAAAATTCATCAAATAAATTTTGGCTTCAAAAACATAAACAAGCTGTCATGTCATTAAAAGTCATGCTTGTTATAAAAACTGAAAAAGCACCATTACCGGTGGACGTAGCTCAACTGGTATATAGAGGTGCCACAAGGGGTAAGTTTCGGGTTTGAATTCCGGCAATTGCGATGAGAGGTTACGTTACTATGCTAAAAATGTATAGGCCTCTGTAAGTACCAAGGCCAAAGCCCCATTTTCTATCTGCTAGTTTGTGATTACAGTCCAATTTACATGCTCCCATCTAACTGTCCGATCGATGTTGGGGGCTCTCAGGGATGATGTGACATCTTCTTCTTTTTTTTGAAAAAGCACCGTTCCTTCAAAAGATATACGGGGCATTGTGGCGCTTGTGAAGCGGAAACCGCCGTACTTTCATTGTTTTCCCCAAGACACTTATTACGTTAAAATGCTGCTTGATAAGTCCATTTTTGTACTTATTTTTCTTATCAAATTTAAGCGATTTTTGATTGAAAATAGAAAGAAAAGGCATGTTTTAGATATTTTGGTTCAAGTTTCATGAAATTAGGTGAAAATCACATTCATAATATGTTTGCCGGGATTTCGGGTCAATTGAGAACAAAATGAGTCAATTTGAGTAACAAATGAAGTCATACCGGAAGAAGTAAGCATTTTATCAAGGTGACCCAGAAGACAATCTTGGAGAGCAGGAACCGCAGGAATTACCGGACGATTTTAGCAGAAGGCGCCCAAATAGGTGGCCAAATCTGGGCGCCTGTGTGGCCGCCTACTCTATTTTGGAAAGTCAACGTTTGGCTTTGACTCGGAACCGGAAGATGACCGAAGGCTGCCGACACCAGGCGGAGGGCGGCCGCCCTCAGTGGCCGCCTGCGGCACTACGGGACGAAGCCAACCACCGGCCGGTGCGACTGGACGGCAGGCGGCCAGACAGGAACGGCAGGCGGCCGCCCTCTGGACCGCCTGCGGCTGACGAGACGCGACCACGATCTGCTGCCGGCGACGAGAACGGAAGGCGGCCGGAGAGAGGCAGAAGGCGGCCGCCTGGTTGGCCGCCTACGGGAAAATTTTTCCTATAAATTGCCCGATTTTTGCTGAACTCAAACACACCATTCTAAACCCTAAATCAGCTCTCATTAGCCTCCTTCTTTTATTTTCGAGCTCCAAGAGCAAGTAGAGAGAGAAAGCTTCAAATCTTCATATCTTCTTCATTTTAGCTCCAAATTGTAAGTTCTTTATATTTATTTTCATCTTCTCAACGTGTAGAATCTGAATCTGTGCTTCGTTTCTTCGATCTGTTCTTCGAAAATTTCCAGATTATTTTTCAAGTATTTCGCAATTCCTTCCAAAAATTAAATAAAATAGTTATTGATGTTGAATTCATTCCAATTAATTATATAGTTGTTCACTAGCCTAAAGGTAGTTATTTATCTGAAGAAATTTATTTTTCACGAAGTAGAAGTAATTTTTAATTAATTTCGGTAATTACTTGATATTATTGCTTAAATTAAAATAAATACTCAAAAAAAGGAAAAAAAATTATTTCGGCCTTAATTTCAGTTTAATTCATTGTTATATCACTACCAGTAGTTAAAATAAAATTTATAACGAAGTTAGAATATTTTTGGTAGCCATTTTCACTTTCTAGTTAAAATTGGGAAAATCATCAATTAGTTGCTAAAATTGGATCTTAAATTTATTAATTCGTGAAAAATTCCAGAAAATTATATTTTAGTTCCTATAAGTTTATTGTCCCAGAATATAAGCTTTGTTTGAATTTTTGCTATCATCCATGTTTAATTCCTTGTTAATGTTGAATATACTCATTATATTGTTAGTTGTAAAAATGATGTTTAGTAGCTAAATTTATTTTGGACATGAATTGAGAAAAGGAATATGGATTGACTTGTTGACCTAAAATTAGGGGTTAAAATTAATAAATTGGACTAGTTGTTTAAAATGATGAAATAGTAATTAATAATAGTTAGCCATTTTCATTAATTAAATTCTTGGAAATTAATTCTAACTTGTCTATGAGATTAGAAATTAATTTAAGCCAACCATATTTGAGCACATTAATAAGGCCTAGAAATAGGATAATTTAATGAAAAGGATTTACATCTTGTCTATGAGAAATAAATTCAGTTGCTAAAATAAAGAGTTTAACTAGTTAATGAATTTGGCTATTTTTATTAATTAAAATATTGGAAAATTATTTCTACCTTGTCTATGGGTTTAGAATATAATTTAAGCCAACCATTTTAAACACATTAATGACACCTAGAAATAGGATAAATTAATGAAGATAGTTTCTATTCTTGTCTATGAGGAAAGAAATTACTAGTCCAACCTTAGTCTTAATTTCCCTAATTAAGAGGTCCAAGAACATATTCATTTCTAATTACTCAATTCATTGCCCTTATTTGCATCAATCTTTAGAACACTTAATTTTTGAACATTAATCTTTAAATTGAACCTAGCTCTTACTTGTAAACTGGCATAATTTAGAACACAACCACTTTCCTATATTGAAAAAGCTTCCAACGATTAGCGATAGCCCGTGACTAAAATTAAATTAAGAAACTTCTCCGCCATTCCTCAAGAGACACGATACTCGGGGAAAAACCGAAAGGTTAGACTCCGTTTTACTACAACGCCGCGAAAGCGGTCATCACTGCTAATTGTTCTTTTTTCACACGTGCTTGGAAGTGCCGCACGTGCAACATTTTAAGAGCCTGAAATGCCACTTCTTCCACTAGTGATCTCACATTAGAACTTGACAAAAAAATTGTCACGGTTCCACACACACAATTCACATCGCCCTCTTGTCTCGATATGTTATGACCGTCTCACCGCCAGTGCGATGTATCTTGGCGAGACCATTACACCGTTCCTACTGTGCTTCCTTCGCCGTCCGTTCAAGCCCCGAACATTACCAGCGCTTTCTCGGCTTTCTTGAACGGCCATTCTGTCCCAGTGGCTGGGACCCGCTTAGGAAAGACGCCGCATGTTTCGATTAACGTGACTTTGGATGGGTGGATAACTTGGAAGCGGGGCTCATGGAGTTGTTATGGAAAAATGCATGTCAACTGCCCGTGCGATCTCAGATTGGGCTACACTGGTAGCTATGGTTTTGGAGAAGGTTGCATGGTTGATCAAGTTAAGGACTTGACTTGATCCACTTTTCTTATCGTTATTGTTAGTATAACAGTCCATAAAATATACGGTAAATAAAGTATAATGTTTATATATTACGACATACTTCCTACGTTCTTAAATAGTGCAACAGTCAACATTTTACACTTGCCGAGACACAACTTTAACCATTGATATATATAATTCTATATCAGTAAAAAATTTAAAAAAATGTGTTTTTGAAAATTTACAATGAGACAAATTTAATAATATATTTTTCAAAAATATATATTAATACATCAATAAATAAAATGTAGTCATAGTAGAACATATGAATAGTGTAAAATTTCACATGTTGCACTTATTTAAGAACGGAGGTAGTATTATATACTCCTTATTTATATACTCCGTACTTCGTATATATAGTTAGCTAGAGGCATGCTGTTGTTGTTGACAAATATTCCGTATAATGCAATGGGAAACCTATTTTAATTTATTAAATCTCTGTGTGTATGTGCCCAGTGTTTCTATGTCTTTGCTGTTATCTTAGTAATTGTTTGAATGGCCACACATATGTCTAAGCTTAGGAAGACCTTAATTATACTCTGTATTAATTAGAGACTATTGCTATCTCCAATTTCTCAATAGGAAAGAGTTAGGTTTCCAAATCTGCAACATAAGCTTTTATTCCGTATTTTTCAAATTTGCGAAATTTTGATTCAGCCAGTTTTATAAGTCTTTTTTTTTAATTATTCAAGAACGGGTTTATTTTGCATAATTTTATAATTAAATACACTCAAAGTTAAGCAAAGTTGTGATGTGCTTTTTCTCATAAACGATAATTTAGTTCTGAGTTTTCCTTTACTTTAAAAATTACTTCAATTATTGGCTTTCATTTTATATAACTTTACATACTGGTTGGTCCATTTTAAAACAGCAATTCTTTGTTGAAGTGTGTCAATATTACGGGCTTAATTACGGGCTTGGTTTATGTAAACCCAGCAATTCTTTGTTGAAGTGTGTCAATATTTTTATGTTCTAAGTTTACATTGATATTTTGAGTCTGCATGCTTGCCCTGTGCATTAGGATGTTTTTACTTGGACTGTTATTTGTCTCAGACCAGTCCAGACCAGACCAGACCAGACCAGACTTGGATAGTTATAAAAATACAAAGAAACCAGACCTTACCAGACCAGACCAGACCAGACCAGACCAGACAAGTTCAGACCAGACCAGACCAGATCAGATCAGACCAGACCAGATCAGACCAGCAAATTACAGTCCAAGTAAAAACATCCTAGTAATGCTAAAATTATACGGAGTAAGTTTAGTTATGGTACAGTTTATTGGGATAATTACTACGTAGTAATTTTTACATTTGGTAATTTGGGTCATTGGGTGTTACCTATTCTCATTAAACTTTACAAATTCTATTTGCCCCTTGAGAAAGTATATTCCAGTTTGTTTATATTTTTTTTACCACTTTCTTTTGATCACTTTGTGTGTTTAAAAAAATTCTGTGCAAATTGAGAAATAATTGACCTAAACTCGCTTACGTAGGGAGGAGAACAGGGTCTCTCTTATAGAGAACATTGACACGTTCCATTGATAATTTACAATAATGGAAAAGGACATTTGAAAAGAAAAAGCAATTTCCCCTTGACATGTACGGAGTAATATTTAATGTATCAAATAAATTTACATTTCATTTTTTTCGAATCTTTCTAATACGTAGTATATTATAGTACTACCTCCGTATCATTCAAAGGTTCTCGTCCAATATTCACATGATCAATTTAAATCATTTTTTATCTTTTGTTCAATATATCAATTTTTTTAGCAAATGAACATCTTTTTATCAGGCATTGTAGCGTTTTAATGTAGTTTTTGAATATGTACTTTTATTTACTAAAAATAATCAACTGGAATTAAGTTGCTTCATCTTCAGTCAATTAAGCATCATAAATAGTGATGGGGACCTCTGTATGGGACGGAGGGAGTATCTGTTTCGTTGAGACCAACATCCTTGAATTGGGATGGGTTCGAACTTGTGACATCCTCTTTGAAAGTGTCACAGTGATGTCATCAAACCAAACCACAAGATACATGTCATTTACATCCTCTTTAATGTGTATAGTTTTTAAAATGCGTAGTAATTAAAAATGGCTCGAACCAGTCTAGGACCGGCTCCGGAACTAGACCAGGCTCCGTAATACCCGATTTGGGCCCGGGATTCCAAAAATAGAAACCGGGATCGAAGCGGGACCGAGTCCATATCTAAGTGGAAAATGGAAAACATTGTTACCGAGCCTTTTCCTCTACATCAATTCTTTTAATTGAATTGAAACATTATCACATGGCTTTACCGAACTTTATCCATAAAACCTCGGTACAAAATTAGGAACAAAGTACAATCTTCGAATATCATGGGTGTCCCATTAATTGTATTAGAAATTAGAAACTTCAATTGTAGATTCATTCAAAAAACGCATTTTGGTGTCAATGAAATGTTCCATAAAGTTAGGGAACTGAAATCTAGCTTAATTCATTTCTCACCAGTTATATTGATCATAGCCCTAAAGCACTACGGAGTAAATCATAAGATATGTTATAAAGTACTACGTATGTTATAACATACTGCCATTTCTCATCTCAATGAAATACGAAGTATATTGGCAGTATGTTATAAAGTAACAATCAAATAAAAACGCTTTAGAATCACAAAACGTGAAAGAGGAGACGATCTTAACGGAGGTATTAAATTAGTCTAATCTCTAAGCTCACCATTAGAGGCTAAGAGCTACAACTAGAAAAGCTATTCATCCAATTCCCACGATGCAATTAATTAGAGTATTACGGCATCACTTTTATATGCACTCACAGTTATCTTTAATCTCATTGGTTGATAAGGTTTACCAATTGATGGTACCAAATACGGGGTACGTTTCTGTTACAGCAATGATGTACAATCGGAGAAAATATTATCATTTGGGGATTAGTCAAGGATTTGCCGTTTTTATGCCCTGGTGATGATGAACTTTATTTTTGGAAAACAATTCCAGAACTTGGAATTGGCATAGGAACATTGAT